CCGCGCCTGCCACGCAAATCACACCGGCACAGCTGCGGCGACCAAGCCCCAGGGCGTATGGAGAGCACCAAGTACCGCGCCTGCCACGCAAATCTCACCAGCAAAGCTGCGGGGACCAAGCAACCCCAGGGCGTACATCCGACCCCGTGGTGACAATTAGTTGGTGGCAATTAGGGAAGAGGAAGGGAGAGGAGGAGCGGATACCACACTAAAAACAAAAAACCACACGTCAATAGCACACTAGAAACAAAAAACACACGTCAATGTGGGGAACAAAGGCAATGGAACAAAGGCAATCACAATGACTACAGGACAATAACAACTGTCCCCGATCAAAAGACCAAGCAGAAGCATGAGGTAAGTAGGATGGGCTGCGGACACCATATCCACTTGTTCCGAAGAGGTAGGAGACGACACGCCACGCATTTGCCATTGCTTGCTTTGTAGGCTTCGACATGCGCCGTGCAAGGCGCTGAATGGCATACTGTGCTTCTTGTCGTTCACTTGACATGTACATCAGTCTCCCCACAATGCTTCTGTCCTCACCCCTCAACTCTTCTGTTTCATCTCTCTTGCCGAAGTTCGAGTCCAAGGGTGTCTTGCGGTAAAACCTTGAATATTGGTCAACCTCCTTCTCAAAGCTGTCGTACTGCGTCCTGTCACATCTGACATCGCAGTGTCTGCTGCCAAGGTTGAACTGCCTTTTGAGGTAGTGGAATTTGCTGCCTTGTCTGAACGGTCCTTTCTCCTCCACAATGCACTTCTTGTCCTCCTTCAGGCGTCGCGCGAAATCTCGGACTTTGTCTTCTCTGCCCACCATGAAAACATCGTCCACGTGCACTGTCAAGTACAGCAGACCAGGTAGGAAAAGCAGTGTTGGTTGTATAAGGTCTTGCTGCATACCATGCTCAAGGCAAGTTGTAGAAAACAAATGCAACCATTGAGCTGCTGCCGTTCTCTGTCCTGGTAGTGTCCACTTTCACAAACGCATTCTCTGTCGCCGGTTGCGATGCCATCAAGAAGGCGTCCTTCACGTCTAAGGTCATCACAACGAACTCCCTTCTCACATTCACCAGATAGTGGATGAGCATCTTTGGCAAAACCATGAGAGATGCGGCGCAAATTTTTGTTCCAAGTCAATGCTGCTGCGGAACTGTCTCGCCGCCAGTCTTGCTGTTCGAAACCACCCACCTTTCTCAAGTCGGTGCTTCCAGCAATATACTTCCTTGGTGGAAATCACATATCCTCCTGTGTTCTTCACTTCATCTTCATCAGTCTCCACCATTGCTGGTATCTCAAGCATCCTGTTTAGCTCAACTTCTCTGGCTTCCTCATCAAGACGTTGTAGATGTTCTGGACTCACGTCGGGGGGATCATCATTTTCATCTCAGTGCAGTCAATGAACTCCTCCTCCAACAGCTCTTCTGGGATCCATTCGTTCCCAACTTCTTCATCACCATGAGCTTCAATCCGGTTCAGCCCGGCGTAGTATGGAGGGTATAGCTGACTGCTTGGTGATGCACTGAGTGATGCTTCCAAATGAGCCTCTGACTGCATTGCTTCCTGAGATAGCCTTGCTTCGGCCCTGATCTTCTTCTAGGGTTCCTCTGTCTCCTCCTCTGTCAATGTCCTCTTGTCTTGTGTCCTCCTTGGTGAACTCGTCTTGTCCATTTTCTTGGCCTCATGCTCGTCACCTTGCTCCTCAAGCGCTCTCTTCATTTGAGCATTCTTCGGCGATTCTTGTACTTCGTCTCTTTTTGGAGCAGGTGTGACTGGAGCAGCCGTTCCAACCACGGCTGGTGTCATAGGTTGTCCTTGTAGCGCAGGAGCCGGTGTCACAACTCCCGTTGCCCCTGCGTTTGCAATCTCCTTCATCTCCTCCTCGCTGGCTTCCATCTCCAGTGTTGGTCGGCGATATTTCTGAGCTTGACCTGCATGTCGCATCAGAATGCCCTGAGGGGAGTAGCTGAGTAGCTCCAAGGAAGACCTTTGCAGTGAAGACATCAACACCATTGAAGTTCTCTGCTGTCGACAGTCTCCTGTGGCTCTGGACTCATATGCTCCAGTGGCCTTCCAACCCAAACACCTACCTCTCTCAAATGTATTGCTGCCCTTGTACTTGACCAACCTTCTAAACATGATTCACGGGCAAAATGTCCGACTTTTCCACATACGTGGCATGCATTGCTCTGAGCAGGGCAGGCAAGGAGTAAAGCTGCCACTTTGGCATCATCACTGTAGGTCTGCCCTGAGATCCTCTCGTACTCCAGGGTCAAGGACTCGAATTGCGGCAATTGTTCAGACACAGTCTTGCCATCGGCGAACTAGATCCTCGACAATTGACTTAGCAAAGCCAAAGACCTCGCTCTTGTTGCAGGTTGCATCTCCTTGATGAGGACCTGCCAGGCTTGAAACCCATTTTCATTCTTCACATGCCTGATCAGCTTCAAAGGCCGCTGCCTCTGGAAAGATGTCAAAAGGCTATATAGACGTATTGCCTTTGCGTTGGTTTCGTCTGTCATGTCCCCCAGGCTGTAGTCAGCGTCAACGTTGTCCTCGACCATGTCCACGCTCTGAGCCATGGATGGATCCAAGCCCTTCACGTAGCTCATGAACGAGAATTTCCAGTCGCTCCAACCCTTCAGCTCTGCATCTCTGGTGTCAGGGTTGACATTGAACACATCTGGACTCTTCAAATGCCGTGCCAGCCTTGTGCCTGTTGGCTGAGGGTCAACCTTTCTAAGGCCGTTGCAACTAGCCTCAAGCTTTCCTCTGCCATGCTCTTCCAACCTCTCACGTCCGGGTAGAAGGTCTTCGAGGTCAAAGAAGCAAGGGGCTCCTCCTTTCCAAAGACCAGGCCAGAACCCGCCAGCTGTTCCCAGGAATGGCAGTTGTACACTAGCTCACCTAGGACTTCTGGTTCTGTGTCTTCTCTCAACTTCTCAATCCTTCCCAAGAACTTCCACTTGGCGGAACAACCACAATCACCTCTTTCAACACCGAGGGGTTCTTCTTCCTTGCCAAAGTCACCGATGCTCTGACCGCTTTTGCTCCTCGAACCCAGCGAATTCGCGCCTGGAACTCTGTGGTCTCGATGTTCAGCACGTGTAGGTATCGAAACCTTACCTTCTCAGTGCTGGGGGTAATGCTGTTGGAATGGAAGTATTGGATCTATTGGAGTGTGACTGACCCGGCTCCTCCTGCTAAGCCTGCAAGGATCAGCAACTCCAGCAACCAAATCGCGGAAGCGTTGGGCCCTTCCCTGGATCTCCTCCTTGTACTCGGCCTCCGTGTAGCCGTCGTGGTGATGTCGCATGTAACGGAGCTCGGTACTTACGACCAGAGCTCCGCTACCATGAAAAGGCGCAGGCGTGTTTTCCTCAAACAGGCTTTGGGCCGAGTTGGCCACGGTTGTATGTGTATGTGTTTATGCCTGCATGGGTGACCGTCTACATCTTGTCATATTCTGTCATTTCTTGCACGTTCATTTGCGTTTGTTTTGCTTTGTTCTGCAATTATTTTGCTCGGAAAATGTGTTCGTTCCTTGTCTGTATGGCTGCCATGGAGAAAACAACTGTGGAAACAAGACAGCATCAAACAGCATCCAGAGGCAAGGCTTGGTTGATCCAACAAGAACTCAGATGCGTTTCTTTGAATATATCTGAGTTGCGTGAAGTCGAACTTTTTGACACGCTTTAGTGTTGTGTTTTGCAATGTGTTCCTTGATGCTCCCAAAGCACCTTGGGTCTTTCTTGCGCCCACTCTTCGGATGGCAAATGTCATGCATGTTGGGCCTGGAGCAGTCGCGACATCTCAAGAAAGGTATGTTTGACGCTTAATCACACTGAATAGCATCGAAGCGTCCTGAGATTCTCGACGCCCTGCTCGACAGCTGCACGATCGATGCCAAGGAAATCCGCCAAATCGACAGGCACCTTGCCGTCTCTTTCAGAAGTTGAACAGCAAGCAAGGAACTGACGACAGACTGGTCTGCTACTTCTCTGCCGACCAGCCGGCAAGCCCGGGATCGGCCGGCCGGCCGTGGATATCATTTCTACAGTAGCTGGACTGGGCAGCCGGCCGGCTACTTGGCTGTTCAGCGGCTGGCCGGCCACATTGTAGTAAGTCAGTAAGTCTGATATATAACTATTTAATACTAAGTAATTGCAAGTAGGTGTAAATAGCACGCGGGGACTTTCGGAGTGCGAGAATAGTAAGTAGTAGTAAATAGTACTAAGTAGCAACAAGAAGTAGTAGTAGTAGTCGTCGTCGTCGTCGTTGTAGTCGTAGTAGTAGTAGTAGTAGTAGTAGTAGTAAGTACTAGTAAGAGGTAGTAAGTGGCAAGTAGTAGGAAGTAAGTAATAAGTAGTAAGTACTAGTATCAGTGGAAATAACAGCAATAAAGCTCATAATAATATAAAGTAGTAATAGTAACAGCAAGTAGTAAAGGTATAGAAATAGAAGTAGTAAGAACGATAGTTGTAGGAATTGTAGTGGTGCTCATGAGAAAAGTGCGGCCGGCTACAAAATGGGCACAGATGGAATGACAACAGCATGGTCTCACAGGAGCGAAAGCTGTTGTGAGTTTCAATTTTTGGGGGACGCACGGTCGATGTTTTTGCACGCAGAATAAAGCTGTGGCGGGGTAATTGTGTTTCAGGTCTCGAGGAGAGTTGAGAAGGGACCCAGAGGAAGGATTGCAAGAGATAATTTAAAGGCGCACCCAGAAGCCTCTAATAGCTTCTTGTTACTACTAGTAAGGCACTTGTTACTAGTCAAAGGAAGTTTAGTGTGCAAAACTTCCGTGTTACGGACATTCAACAGCTGTTCAACCACCACTCATCATACATCACTCATCATACACCACTCATCATACACCACTCATCATACACCACTCATCATACACCACTCATCATACACCACTCATCATACACCACTCATCATACACTACTCATCATACACCACTCATCATACACGACTGATCACACACCACTCATCATACACCAGTCATCATACACCGCTCATACACCAGCTCTGGTTTCAACAGCTCAAGCTCCAGGCAACTCCAGCTCCAGGTGCAGATTTCGTGGCAGGTGCAGCACTTTGTGAACCTCCATGTGCAGAT